TAATAATGTGCTCCTTATGCAAGATCATGCTAGAGCATCAACTGTTATCATCAGTTCTATACATATGGTCATCTGAGGCATGCATCTCCCCATTAACACCGATGGTATTGGAAACAAAGACACAGTGCGTGCTTGCAAGATCCACTGTAACATTGGTGACATCACAGACATACATAATTTCAATGTAACATTCATGGTTCCTTGGCTCAAATTTTGATTCCTTGTCAGTACATTTTGGCATGGTCACCTCATTGTACGCGCGTACAATGCGGTGGACATCTCTCATGTGATTTTAACTACTGATATGTTGCTGTGCTCAGTACATAACTGGTATACTCAAGTGGATTTTGGGGCAACAAATATCCCAACCCAATTATATGTTTCTCAGAATCCTTTTCTCACTGCACATATCACATGTATGGCTGTTATTACGGATAATCCATCATTGACGTGTTTTGCCACATCTGAAACACTCAGTGAGTATACATGCACCGTTGTAATGAATCCCTTGCAATAACGTGCTAGGTCCCATGTTCTCTCTCACTGCTTCCTGTAATTCAAAATTTCACTATCTTCTGGCAAGCATTCCTGCTTGCATTTGGCTGGACTTGAATTGAACTCATGAGGAACAAAGTTCCCTCTCATTCATATGTAGAGTTTAGTTATGGACTCATAATATTTGTATCCACACAGTTAATTGTAGAGTATCAGTTGGTCTAGTTGACTTCTGCCTTTGCGCACCAGAAGTTCTTCCCAAGATATATATACAGGCCCTGGGCCCTGGGTATTCTGTTTGAATGAAAAACTGCAATCCGTTCTTCTGTCCATTATGTACTTTGATTTATCTTTGTACTTGATCAAGTAAAACTGCCATTTTTGGAACTCTCAGGAAATGAGATTTACAAACATTCATAATTCATTGAGTCGTTTAATTTCTATTGGCCCGTATTTTTATGTCGACATTCAGATGATTTCTGAGTTGTGCCTTCTGTCAACTATGGATTGTCATTCACAATTGGATGGGGAGTTTTGTGGGAAGTCGGAACGCAGGGGAAATATGTATTTGATATTTCCTCATGTTACCTTCCAAAAATTCAGTCACTTATTCATTTCACTTTTGATTACATAATCATTCAGTACACAATCCCCTAGTTCTCCCCGGGGTTGCCATTCTTGTCGTTCACTTTTCGCTTCTTTGCTTCCTGCTTTCCTCTCCAATCATCACACATCTCACCCATCCGTTCAAGTTTCTCAGCTGATCTTCCACCCTGCTGCCCTTCTCAAATTGCCACCTCTTTACCCAACATCTCAAATTTTCCAACAATCAACCTCAGTCTTCCTACACCCCTCACAAACCAATCATGAAGAGAACGCATACTGGTACCGATTCGTTGGGAGCAAGCGCAACCCAAACAGTCGATCCAAAAGTCCATTCGTCTGATCAAACAAACAACCCCCGAAACAATCACAATGTTGCTAGTGTACTTGTCCCCTAACTCTCTCCTCTGCTGTCTGTCGCGATAGCAGAACACTTACCATATTGCTTCTTTCCTTCACACTTGTTTGATGCAGACAATTCAAGACACTTACAATGAAATTGCTCCATCAGTTGCTTGTCAGGATCCGTTAGAACCGCTCCCAATCAACGAAACAATGACCGAACACAATCATGTTGGCCAATACTATAGCAACATCGATTGGACCCATCATCAACTGATGTACACGTTTGTCACACGTCACAGGATTGTTAAAGGATTCAATCAACTACAGCCGCCCTTCCCTCGCACTGGAGCCAGTTCAGCCATCCTCCGTTCACTGATCAATCCACCAACTATGTTCTTCTTCGGAGGATCAAGCATTCAAAATCAACACAACGATCTGTACCGCTTCACCTTTGATCCCAATGACTCCAAACCCAGCCTGACTGCTGGGATTTTCAACACACGTGGACAAGCCCCCGCGCCGCGATCTCATGCTATTCTCTCTGCGACTGATGGCCACCTTTTTCTATGGGGTGGTCAGACAAATTCCAATGTTCTAGACCACCATCTCTACCGCCTTTCCCTATCAACAAACTACTGGAATCACTACATCATATCCGGACCCTCCCCAGCTCTTTTGTTTGGTTCATCTTCTACAATTTTTGAAGGCTTTCTCTATGTTTATGCCAGCCATGATGTTAATCGATCTGTCCAAGGTGATATGTGGCGGATTGAATTAGACAGTTGTCAGTTTCTAAAACCAACTTCTTACTTGAGCATCAGGCAAACTATATGACACTGACACGTGAATCTTTCTTTTCTAGTACCTTCTGTCCCGTCTTGGGAGTTAATCTCGTCCTCCAAAGATCAAATCTGTCCTCCTGCTCGTACAAGCCACTCTGCGGTAGTTTCTTCAAACTCCTGGATCATCTTCGGTGGAACAGACGGCGTCGACGTTTTCAACGATCTGTGGGAGTATCGCTTCCGTGAAAAAAAGTGGCGTCAAGTTTCTGCCAATGGTTCTGTACCCCCTCCGCGCAAGGATCACCTGGTTACCCAAGTCAAGGATCACATGTATGTCTTTGGTGGACATGATGTTTCTGATCATAAAATTTTTGACTTCTTTGCACTTGACCTTATCAGTAAGCATCCATTTTGAATTTAGTGCTCTCATCCAGCCTCAGTAAAGCTGACTCGACTTATACCAATTCCAGACCATGTTTGGCATAGATTGTCTTCCAATGGCCTTGAGCAAGTAGATCCTTGTGGGAAGTCAGTAGTTGCATGGGATGAAACAATATACGTATTTGGTGGACTATTATCAAATAATTCACGTTTTTATCACACTCTCAACAGCATCTCCGCTTGGAATCAACAGCTTCAACAACAAAACTACATCTCCACCTCTGCTATGGAGTCCCTTTCTTCAGTTGAGGACTATCCAACAAACGAACCCCCGTAGGTCCTTCCTCCCAATCATCTTCAATGACTCCCTCCATCCTCAGATGGGTTGTAGTGTGGGATTAGTGCGGTTGGTGTGACTATCATTTGTGCCACGGCTAGTCTCACAACACACTCAATTGTGGATGGTTATTTTGTTTTAACCAAACAGGAGAGCAGAGGACTGACTATCATTCGGACCGTGCTCTCCTGGATTGTTTTTCTGTGACACTACCCCCAGACCTAATTGTTCTTAAAAGCTAATACATTGCATTTGCTTCTTTACCTTCTCAGGCCTGGCAAACGAATCCGACCTCAAAAGCAAGCTAAGAGGTGGGATCGAGCACGGGAAAAACGAGAACAACCTGTCTGTACCCCTGGCCAGCACCAGAACATCTACCATCATTCTGTACCTCCATCTCGCCAACACGACCCCTGCCCCACCGAACTAGTAACCAGCCAGCGTACTATTAAAGAACAATACGTGTCCATCTCACATGGTGTCTGCATCGTGGCACCCAACGATCTCCCTCCCTTCTGTATGGCAGCATGGTATCCTTTCGAAACAATGGCAGCAAATGAGAAGAAAGGATGGGAACAATTTGTCTTGCACCTTCTTAGCCGAATCGACTACGTTGCACAGGTCAATACTAACGGTCCCCAGCAGGATGGAACCATGTGGGCTGACGGTTGGCGCAAGTGTTCAAAAAACACTGAGCACTTTGGAAGATTCTGCTGTGTCGAATCATTGCGCAAGCAGATGAAGCTCCTCAACTTCGACCCCGATGATCAGAAGGCCCGACTTCTGCAAGCTGGTGAATGGATCTCGTCCCACTTGAAAGATTTTGCACCTGTGGTACACGACAACTATCATCAGCTTCTCACAATCAATCAATATCCGTCAATGAATCACACAGAGTATGGCCAACCTTACACCACATCAGACTTCGCCTCTTTCCTCACTTTCACCATGTTTGACTTCCATAATCTTCCCCACAACGATAACGATGTCAATGACTGGACCCTGGTAGGCTGGATCCCAATCTTTAACCCAAAAAAATCTGACAATCCTCAAATTCTGGCGGATCAAGATTTTGATATGATTGGGGGACAGTTTTCATTTCGCGATTTCCAGATCTGTTTGGACTTGACTAAGACACTGGGTGTAACCCTTTGTGTGTTCAGATCCAAAGACTTTCGTCATCAAACCCTCCCTGGTGCTTCCCCATCTGGAAAGTATACCCAAATTGGATTTTCTTGTCAGATCAACCAAAGTATGGCAAGTGCTGTCACTGCCTATTTGCAGGGAAACTATGAAAAAAAGTTAAACATCGGTGGTCTGCAAAATCAAGTGGATAATGCCAATGCACCCAAGAAGAAAAAAAAGACTTAGCTGTATGTAGAATTATAGTGCATCTTCTCCTGTTAAACATACCTCTGTTTTGGCATTCATTTGATCATTTTAACCAACTTTGTCCTGGTAAAAAGTCTCTCACGGGCAATTAAAAGATTGAAATACAGATCAATGTATGGTGACACATTTAATTACTTGAAGATTTTATTTCCATCGGCAAAGCAATGATCATTGTACGTGTATGATTAAAGAGATATATGTGGTATATAAATTGTTCTTTCTCCAAACCATTCAATATCACTTTACTTGAAAAGTTTTCATCCTCTACCATTTGAACACCATAGGCATTAGAATGGAATCTATGGAAACTCATAGAGTTACATCAGATTAGCAAATTTAAATTTCGGTTGCCATTGATGTAACAATTAACACTCATGCAATTTGGCATATTTACAGCCACTTGCACAATTTGAGATGTCCCTGACCTTTTCCACTATTTGTCAGCTCTAAGGAGTAAAAAATATCATATAAAACACTTCAAACACAACCTGGTATTTGTACCTCAATTTTAATTAAATCAAACCCATTCATTCAATGGGGGTCTTTCTCAATTTCACAATTGAGGTTCCTTGGTCAATTCTAAGATTGATGGTGGACTCGTAGTGTTTCAATCCAGAAATCTTTACATGGTCAGTGGTTTCATTATAGCTTTAGGGAGTTGATTTTCTCCAAGTCCTGCAATCTTGCATGGCTTTAAGCTTGCCAAGTAGGTGAGTTCAACTGTGAATATTCATTTTGGTTTATTTCATTGGACATTGAGCTCTATTAGCAGTCATCTCAAGTTTTAATTGAAGAATGCTGAATGGTTTTCTCTTGAGATAATCTTAGACCTGTACCCAACCTTTGAGAAAAAAGATGAGCAGCCTGGAAAAAATATGTGCACTCCAAAATTGATAAAAATATGCATTTGAGTTATAGATGGTTTACAGCCAATTTGTGTAATTTGCTCTGGATTAGTTACGTCTAAATCACATATGATTTCCAGATGAGTTCAAGATACTGTTCAGATGATTTCCAATATCTTTCAAATTTGGTGATGAAAACATCATAGCATGTTTCTGCCATATTTATGGGAAAAGTTACTGGTATGGCACTCCCTGGGGAGTGCCCCCAAAGCTCCCCTGGTGATTATTATTGAAATTAATGTAGATTTCACTTACATGTTCGAGGTTTCACAGATATGTGATCTTTTGAAATTAAGATTAATCAAAGAAAACCAAATTCTTTGAATATTGAAAGCAATCTTCAAAAAATGACTTCAGCCTTGCAAGATGATCAAATCAAGGCAATACAAACAATACCAAGCTTTGGAAGAAGTACTGGTACAAAGTATTCAACCCCTGAGTCCGAAAAAGTCCTTCCTCCCTCCTCAGCGAAAAATTTTCTTACATCTCAATCTCACTCTTTGAGACATTAAAAATTAAAAGGTAAATTACTTAGAATAACTCTTCCGGAAAATAATCCTTTTAAAAGAAGTCTTATTTTATCTAATCCTTTTCTCATTTAATTGTCTACAAAAACCTAGATTTAAATAAGAAATCTTGATCAACTCTTACCTTATTCCTTTTATCTTCAGATCACCCCAACCGAGTTCTCCAGATAATTACCCTTCTTATCTTTACTTTGCTTCGGCTCTCCAAGTAAGTTATCACTTTGACCTGTTAGATTAACAGTATCTCACATTAGCATGTTTCTCTCTTCTCTCTCTCCTTCAATCTACTTATTATCAATTCCTATACCAACCAAATATTAATACTTAACAATTAATAAAATTTTGAATGAAATATCTAAAATAAATAAATAAGTGGGTTTGGTTCTAATAACCCTTCCATTTCATTTGACTGGATAAAAAACTACCACAGTCAATACATATTTGATTGTAGAGATGGGCGCATTGAATCCGGATATCCGCGCGGATGCGGATATCCGCTCACGATTTCAGCGGAAACACACATCCGCATCCGCATCCGCATCCGCCAGCGGATACCCGCCAGCGTTTGGCGGGTATCCGCGCGGATACCCGCGGATACCCGCCCTCTGAATGGCGGCGAGGCTCTTCCAGGAGTTTTTTTTTTTTAAAAAAACGAAAGAAAAGAAAAAACAAAAAAAAAAAAAAAAACCCAGCTCCCTCGGCCTAAAGGGGCAGAGGCCACACCGTCGGGAGGAACCCCTCCCGCCGAGCTGGTTTAAAAACCAGCTCGCTGCGGGCGGTTTCTCCCAGCGAGATGAGCTTGTGGACGCTCGCCGGGAGGAACCCCTCCCGCGGAGTTTGTTAACAAACTCACCGGGGGGGGGCGCCCCCCTCCGATGTCTTTAGCTAATCTCTCTGCGACTGATGGCCACCTTTTTCTTTGGGAGTGGTCAGACCAATTCCAATGTTCTAGACCACCATCTCTACCGCCTTTCCCTATCAACAAAACTACTGGAATCACTACATCATATCCGGACCCTCCCCAGCTCTTTTGTTTGGTTCATCTTTCTACGATTTTTGAAGGCTTTCTCTATGTTTATGCCGGCCATGATGTTAATCGATCTGTCCAAGGTGATATGTGGCGGATTGAATTAGACAGTTGTCAGTTTCTAAAACCAACTTCTTACTTGAGCATCAGGCAAACTATATGACACTGACACGTGAATCTTTCTTTTCTAGTACCTTCTGTCCCGTCTTGGGAGTTAATCTCGTCCTCCAAAGATCAAATCTGTCCTCCTGCTCGTACAAGCCACTCTGCGGTAGTTTCTTCAAACTCCTGGATCATCTTCGGTGGAACAGACGGCGTCGACGTTTTCAACGATCTGTGGGAGTATCGCTTCCGTGAAAAAAAGTGGCGTCAAGTTTCTGCCAATGGTTCTGTACCCCCTCCGCGCAAGGATCACCTGGTTACCCAAGTCAAGGATCACATGTATGTCTTTGGTGGACATGATGTTTCTGATCATAAAATTTTTGACTTCTTTGCACTTGACCTTATCAGTAAGCATCCAATTTGAATTTAGTGCTCTCATCCAGCCTCAGTAAAGCTGACTCGACTTATCCCAATTCCAGACCCTCCTTTGACGTTGATTGTCTTCCAATGGCCTTGAGCAAGTAGCTCTAGGTTGACGAAGTCAGTAGTTGCATGGGATGA